GCTAAAACTCTGGCCTCCCACAAATACATGAACCAGGACACATACGCATGAGTATGTACACACACACCAAAACCAACAACGAAAAAGTAAATAGAAGGCTGAGGAAATGGCTCAATTGTTAAAGAACTTGCCCACAATAGCCTAGCCATGAGTTCGAGGTTCAATGAGAGCTCCTATTCCAAAAAATAAGGTGGAGAGTGAAGAAGGCCACATTATACCAACCTCTGGCCTCCACACACACAGGCACTATTAGTAGTACACATATCTAATCCAAGCACATAGATATCTGCTATGAGTTTGAAGCCAGAAAGACCTTGTGCAAAGGAACAAAAACAATAAAAAGGAGTCCTAGAACATAAACTTGGTCTGAAACAGGGATTACAGGTGTTTGCTACCACTCCCTGGTTGTTCACTGATTCTTTACAAATTTTAAGCATTTACAACCTAAGATTTGAGTCATCTGAATAACTTCTCACTTTCTCAATTTGCTGGAAATTGAACCTGGTCTTCTAAAAGAACCAATGCTCTTCAATGCTGAATCCACAGTAAAACTCTGCAGTGGTCTAAGCTTAGAATCAGCTAACACCATGTGGTACGTCAAGTATAAGTCAAAGCACATTTGAGAGTAAGCTCAACTTGAAACTCCCTACAAGTCTATAAAATCAGCGAACTAGCAGGGCAAGGTGGTATACATCTTTAATACCAACACTCAGAAGACAGAGGCAGGAGGATCTGAGTTTGAGGTCAGCCTGGTCTCCAGAGCAAGTTCCAGTACAGCCAAAGCTACAGAGAAACCACCTCGAAAAAAAATATACAAAAACAAAACAAAACAGGGCTAGAGAGAAGGCTCAGCGGTTAAGAGCACTACCTGCTCTCCCAGAGATCCTGAGTTCAATTCCCAGCAACCACATGGTGGCTCACAATCTGTAATGGGATCTGATGCCCTTTTCTGGCATGCATAAAGACAGAGCATTCATGTACATAAAATATATAAATAAAAAAATCTTTTTAAAAAATAGAATAAAATAAAACAAAGACCCAAAGGAAGCTAAAACATTTTAACAAATGGATTCAATGGAGAACTTTATTTTTAAAACTTTCATTATGCAGCTGGGCGTAGTGGTGCACACCTTTAATCCCAGTCTCAGCACTCTTGAGGGAGAGGCAGGAGTTAAAGGCCAGCCTGGTCTGAGTTCCAGAATTGCCAGGGCTGCTATACACAGAGATCTTGTCTCGAAAAAAACAAAAAGAGAAAAAAAAAATTACATGTATGTAGTGGGTATTCGCTCCACCGTGGGCTATCTGGCCCGACATAGGCAGTGCTTCTCGTCTGCCTACAGGTGACCTCTTATAATAAAGGAGGGAAGGTGGTCATGCTCTCTTGCTCCCTTGGGTGAAGACTAAATCAGGCAACATGAAGCAGTGTGCAATCAGTCCCCAGTTTTCAAAGGACTCTGCATATCCTGTATTCATGAATGTATTTCCCCTTTCATATCGTAATAAATCCTTGATACCCCTTAAACAGACACACATGGATTTCTCTTAACAACATGTATTTGTGTGTGTATACCTGCATGTGTGTAGAGGTCAAAGGATAATCCATTGGGGTCTGATCTCTACCATTCGGGTCCTGGGGATTAATAAGTATTGTGATTGGTAACAAGTGCCTGTATCTGCTGAGCCATTCCCAATGCAGAACTCAAAATTTTTACTTAAAAAAGTTACTTTGAACGAACTTTCCAAACCTGCAAATTGTTATAGAAAGCACAGCTAGTTTTCATTTCTTATCCTTATAACCTGCAAACTTGAAACTATCCATTACAGTTCAATATCCCAATAAACAAAAGTTCAAACTAGCTTCAACCTGATACACAAATGCTGCTTTGGAAAACAACCTTATAGCAAATTTTTCAAAGAGTTCATGTGCTATACACAACACACACTTTTGAGACAAGCTACAACTCACAATGTAGACCATGCTGGCCATAGAACTCAGAGATCCTTCTGCCTCTGCCTCCTAAGTGTTGGAAGTTCTGGGATTAAAGGCGTGTGCTATCATGCCCAGATTCCTAAATATTTAAAAGTTCTCTCTACCATGTCATTCACTTGTAATGTTGTCTTCTGTGTATTTTTTTTAAAGTGGGGCTGGGAGTCAAACACAAGGCCTTACACATAATAAGGAAGTACTCTACCACTGATAGAGCTTTAGCTCCTAAGAGTACTTTAAAACAATACTGTGAGCCAGGTTTAGTTGTGCCCACACTGAATCTGAACCATTTCTATGAAAAGACAACCCAAGTTCCCTCAGTCTTGCCTCTTTTTTGAGACCCAAACCTCTCTCAAATACCTACTCTAAGAATGTAGACTATAAGAATGGTTCTCATAGCTTAATCTGATTTAAAAACTGCATTTTCATATGTTAAAAAGACTAATTTTAAGTTGTTCATATTTGATCTAAATAAGGTAAACAGAAACTGTCAAGGAAGCAAAATGGAAAACCTACTTCTTTTTTTGTTTTTGGGGGTTTTGGGGTTTTGTTTTTTTTGAGAAACGGTTTCTCTGTAACTTTGGAGCCTGTCCTGGAACTAGCTCTTGTAGACCAGGCTGGCCTCAAACTCACAGAGATCTGCCTGCCTCTGCCTCCTGAGTGCTGGGATTAAAGGTGTGCGCCACTATCTCCGCCTGGATTCCTACTTCTATTCTTACAGATACTAACCCACTATAAAGTTTGTCAAAGAAATTATTGCCTGGGGCCACTCATTCATCCCATGCCTTTTCTTAGAAATCCCAGATTTGCCAGGCTGTGGTGGCGCACACCTTTGATCCCAGCATGAGCTCGGGGGCAGAGGGTGGCTCTGCCGGATCTCTGTGAGTTCAAGGCCAGCCTGGTCTACAAGAGCTAGCTCCAGGACTGACTCCAAAGCTACAGAGAAACCCTGTCTCGAAAAATAATAATAATAATAATAAAATAAAGAATAAAAAAAAATCAACACATAGTCAACTAAGAATTTAAAATCCGTATTTTTAGTCAAATACTGATAGGCTGTTAATTGACTAGTAAAGTTGAAAATAGTAGCACTGATATCTATAAACTAGAAGCAATTTAAATGTTTACTAGCATGGGATAGAAAATTATGGAATATCAACAGAATAATACAGAAACAGACTTCAAGCAGAAGACAGTAATAAAGTAAGTTTGGGAGGCAGAGATGAGACAGGTGGATCTCCGTGAGTTCAGAGCCAGCCTGGTCTACATGGTAAACACTGCAGAACAGCCAAAGGTGCACAGTGAGATCCTGTCTCGAAAACAATAATAATCATCATAAAGCAAGACTGCCTGTGTACGTACGGATTGAAAAAAAGAAAAAAAAACTATGTTTATGGATACAGAGATGGTAAATATAAAGACAAAAGACAAGATTATCAAGCTGAAGAAATGGTTTAGCAGTAGTCAAGCACACTGGCTGCTCTTCCAGAGGCCCTGGGTTTGATTCCTGGCACCCCAATAGCAGCTCACAATTGTCTCTAACTCCAGGCCCAGGCGATCAAACACCCTACCCTATTCTGGTTCTGAGGGTACCGCATATACATAGTGCATGACATATATGCATACTAAACACCCATACACATTAAAAAATAAAGTTATCTCCAAGAACTGAGATGCTATGAGGAGGAACAGATCAGGGATGAAGGCATTCTATTTCTTCGATGTAGTTACACTAATCTGATCTGTAAACAGTGTCTACATATTCCACAACCTTAAGGGAGGGTGCTGTGGTGTGCTTGTCTAGCATGTACAAAGCCCATGGTTTGATCTCCCATCCACACAGAATGAGTTTGGTGGCAGCATATTTATAATCTCAGCACCTGGGAGGCAGAGGCAAGAGGATCAGAAGTTCAAGATCATGTTCCACAGCAACAAGCCAACCCAAAATTCCTAAAACCCATCTCAAAAGAGAAAAAGATCAGCCTTCTAAGTGGGTCCAAAGAACCATTCCTTTTCCCCATTGAAGAAAGCAAAAATGTACATCTTTTTCTTCATGCAGCCAAGTCAGTTTAATACAACAAATCACAACTCAGAGCTGGAGAAGTCGCTTAGTGGTGAAGTGCATGCTTAGCATGTGCAAAACTCTAGGATCAATCCTCTGCACCAAGTAACAAAAACAAAAACCTGCTAAAAACAGAAATCATAATCAAATATTAGAGGGGAAAATACTGACGCTCAGAGGACTTACACCTGGAACTAAATGCAGGCAAGCAAAGAAAAGGTGTTCGTGTAACACCTCATTCTGAGGCCAACTCAGAAACAGATACTCACAGATAAAGCAGAGGAGTGAGAAGCATGGCACATCAAGCACAAACCACTACTGACTAAGCATGCAAGCTTACGGGAAAATATCCTTGATTCTGTAGCTGTTATAAAAGAGGACAGCCACACCCAAAGTCCCTAAAGGGGCTTTGATTTATGTTGTTTCTGTTTTTTCAAGCAACTCAAATTCACAGTAAAATTCAACAACTTTTTGAGTTTTAGTTTGGAGACACAACATCAACACTAGCTTTTGCAAGGAGATATGGAACTGTTTAAGTTCTTGGAGAAGTATAAAAGCTTATCCCAGAGAACTAAAAGTTATCAGGTAAATATTAGTTCATGGAAACATGTTTGAAAAAAATGTAGATAATCCAGAATAAGCAAGCTTAAAAGGTATAAAAAGTTTATAACTACATTCTCAAAAAAACCTCACTTTTTTTTTCTTTTCTTTTCAACCATTTAGGTTCTTAGTTGATGCTTTGCAATGTAATCCTACATGTTCAGTTGACGTAGATTTTAAAGGCCCACTGTCCAAGGAACAGTTTCCCACATCTGCAGTTTTCTAGCAGCTTGCGGTTTCTAGCGGACAACACCGAGAATGAATGACAGGATTTGTAGTTTCAGTATCATCAAGGGGGTGGGGGTAACGGACTGCACACATACTTCCAGCATATGAATGATTTTAACTCACCAGTCACCATGTTGCATGTATGTCTGCTGCTTGTCCTGAGTTCTTAAGACTTCTAACATTCTGAAGAAGATAGAACAAAGAAGTTCCTTCCATCCTCAGCCTCTTTTTAAGTTTTAATTTTGTTCTTAAAAAAATAGTTTATTAAAAAGAAACATTACTACCAAATTTGATTACTTTTAGCTTGCTTTTCTTCAAGCTTAGTGGATCAAACTGTATAATAAACTAGATGTTTTGTGCTAGAAAAAAAGAGATGCATCTTTTTCCATATTTCTCTTTCACAAACCTAGATTTCCTTGACACCAGATCATGGTGCTGGGACAAAAAAAAAAAAAAAAACTGGGAAGGACTTAAGTCACTTGATTTCTGTAGTGACAGGGGAAGATTTTAGAAATTTCTGCTGGATACTTTAGAAAATACAAAGAAAAAAAGCAAATCATTGATCAAGTTTATCAACATTAAGAACCGGCCCTTATTCGGAACAGAAAAGCAAGCCCCTCCCACCCATGCGGGGGCGTGGGGGGGGAGTAGCATTTAAGGATTTAAAGCGGAATTTTAAAGCTTGGAGAGTTTGGTACCACACACATTAGAGGATCTCTTTCCGGAGCGCACAGAGGTGACGTGTATCAACTGCGCTTATGGACGAATTGATTTCTCATAGAAGAAAAAGCAGGCACTAACGAAGGGCCTTGCAGTGTTAAATTAACCTTCTCTCCTCGTCACAAAGCACCAGTACAAGGTGAAAAAACCCAAGGGGACCCAATGCCCTCTCTGGCCAATAGGACTCCGTTTCCGAAGCAGGGTAGCACCCTCCCCAAGCACCCACCCAGTACGTGGGCCTCCCTTAAATGACAGCATTCTTCAGTTAGTACGAGCAATCTTGTCTGCCTCGCAGAGGAAAAGGAGCCGCAAGCCAGACAGCAAAGCCGCTAGGTTTCTCTGCGGACCTAGGCCACCGCTGCCCCGGACGTCACCAGAGCAGGAAGGGCCCAACCCTCCACGTTCCCCACGCAGCGAGTCGCTCGTCCGCCAGGCTGCCGGCCCTCCGCTCGGAGGGGGCGTCCGGCACGCACTCGGGACGGCGCGACCAACCAACAGCAGGGCGCGCGCCGCACAACCGGGGGGTCGCGGAGAGGCGCGCGCCCCGGAAGCCGCTCTATTCCACGGGCCACAGCTGAGAGCCAACGGGGACGCGCACGTCGAGCGGCAACGCGCAACGGGAGGACCGCACAGCGCGCGCGTTACCGCGCGCAAAAAACAGGCTCGTGCGCGCGCGCCCCGAGGCGCGCGCCCCTGCGCCGCGCCCACCCGGAGCCCGGGCACTCCCCTCCCCCACCGGCGGGGCGGAGGCGCGCGAGCCGAGGGCCAGTCTCCGTTCCCCGGCCGGTCCGAGGTCGCTGAGGCCCAGCGGCGGCGGCCCGCCCGCCCCCGCCCGCCGTTGTGTGGTGTGGGCCTGCTGCCCCAGTGCCACAGCCTGGCTGCGTTCCCGCCACCACCAGAGCCCTCACCCGGCGACGCCACCGCCGCCGCTGCCTCCGCTCTACCCGCCGGCCCCGCTTCACCGCCCGGGGCCTCGGTTCTGCCGTCGCTGATCCAAGACCGACAGGATTTTCTCCTCACAGCTCCCTGGGCGCCATCTTACATTCAACCCTCACAACCAATGGGAACTGAGTACACCTCTCGCGAGAATGGAAGCAGCGGCTCCCGCGAGAGCTGCCGGTCAGACTTAAAGGGAACGCTTCTGAGAGGGAGGTCGGTGGGACTGAGAGTGGGTCCCTTGTTGTTGAAAGGAGCGCCACGCCCACGGACGCCTCTCCTTGAGGGGAGGGGCTTAGGCCTGGGGTTCGATACCCGGGGTTATTTTGCTCCCGCCCGGGATCTGGAAGCGTGCTTCTTGAACCCACCTACGGCGTCCCGCTTGCGCCTCCCCATGCCTGCTCAACTCCTCGCGAGGCGTGGCCCAGCCTACCTTGGCATCGTGGTTAAGGTGGCCCCATAAACCCCTAAACTGGGCTTAGCTTTAACAGTTGTACCGCCCCTGGGAAATGCTCGGGGCTGCGGGTATTCTAGAGAAAACAGCTTGGGGACGCTCACCGTCAGACGCCATCTGAGATCAGTTTACCAGAGTCAGGTCCACCTTAAAGCGGGCCTTGGGTAGCCCAGTGTTTGTATACAGGGAAAATGTGGAAGGCGTTAAAGCTGCAGGCATTCACCTACAGCCTCCCCAGCGACTGACAGCAACCCAGAGAGCAATCAGCCTCTGGGTGAGTCTTTCTGCCTATTGCACTTGTTCCTGTCCTGGCAAACTCTCGAGTCTTCAAACTCCTCCGAGGTCCTTTTCTAAGATGGGATCCAACCTAAACTGCAGCTGGATCAGGAGCCTCAGTTTGTAGAGGCATCCAGGGAGACTTCTGGGGTTTCTAAGCTTGAAAGGCCGCTTTATCTCACTCTGTTTGCGCAGGAGACAGGGTTTTTTTTCCTGAATGATCATTCTGTTGATCTGCCTGGCTCCAGACAAACCTGAAGCCCTCCCTCCGGCTGATAACTGGAGCAGCATCTCCGGGGGCCCTCAGGTTTCTCATACAAAGTGCAGACCTAATCCCCCCCATGCACCGTGGAACTAGCGGTTCTGGCACTCCCTCTGTCCTGGGGAAGCCCGTTCTTCAGACTGCGTGTGTAAGCACCACCACCAGCAGTTCACACACAGCATGTCTCCAGAGGCCTCAAATACCAGAAAGGCAAACAACACATGGACTCCAGAGATTTAGTTACTCTTTATTGAAATGGAGTACGGGGTGGTGAGGGCACCCCCAACCCCCAGGATGAGGTAGGTCCACATGTTTTCAGTTCACACCTTTCCTGGATCTTCCTTCAGTGTGACAGTTCGGTTGAAGACAAGCTGAAAGGCAAGAAAAATGACCAACAGCCCAGAAGCAGGCCTCTTACTCTTCCTCCCCCAAGGAAGTGATGTCTCAAGCGACAGAACATCAATAACTCTGCAATATTGGATACGGGGCTAAATAATAACTGTGCTGCTGCTGTGCCTTAGACTCATGAGGATTATGACAACCTCTAAGCATGCATGCTACTTTGAAGAGTAAAAAGGTCAGGATCCCTATTAAATTTTGGGCTTGGACCTAACCCTCTAAAATCAGTTTCCTCAGAAGTAACACATAAATACCCTCCCTTAACCAGTGAAGGCTAAGATAATGTAGGGAGTGTTTATTACAGTGAACAGCTGCCACCATCAGTACTGCAGTGGTAAAGGTAAGCACCTGTCCTTGTTGGCTATCTGGATCAACAGAGAAGTATCCGAGGCGCTCAAACTGGAACTTGTCAAAGGGCTTTGCCAAAGCCACGGAGCAGTCCACTAATGCGCCTTCCACCACTTGTAGCGAGGCCTGCAGACAGAGAATTGAAGTAGCTGTACAGCCGGGAGGCCCACCACCCTCAGCTCCCACTCCATGAGCCTACCGGGTTCAGGTCACTTAGGAAGCCACCAGGCACTTCAACAGGGTCTTCGGGGTTCTTGTGCTGGAATCTGTGGCCAGAGTGAAAATCAGGCCTGAGCTGGAGAGCCACAACATGCAGTTCCCTTCTTGTGACTGCCCCAATGCCAGTTATGTTCACTCACAGTCGCTCATAGAGGCGAATCTCACACAGCAGAGGCTGTGACACCCAGTGAATAAAGGCCTTGGGCTTCTCTCCAGAATCAGCTCTTCTACAGGTCACCTCCAAGTACTCCACACAGCCACTAGAGCCCTAGAAGTGAGGGAGATGCAATCAGACCAGGGAACCATCACGAAAACCGCTGGCTACACACAAAGCTTGACCCCAGCAGGCAATATCCGCAAAGACTGCAGCTGCCTTTTACCTTGACAACATGCTGCAGTTCGATGACATAGCCAGTATGTCTCAGGCCCACAGGCTGGCCACAGGCCAGGCGCTTATAGCCTGGCTCTGACTCCTAGAGAAAAGAATCACAGAAGTTACAGGAGCTGCAAGCATCATGCGAGTACAGGGCTTCTCCCAACCCCATGTTTATCAGGGATTGGTTCATGGTAAAGCAGGAAAGAAATGGACTTAGAGAAGGGATGAGGATACTACAAGACCCCCATTTACCTCCTTAAAGTCAGTTCTCTCAATGAAGACAGTGGAAGCAAAAGGAACCTGATGGAAGCCTTTGGTCTCTTCAGCTGGGAAATCTGGCACTTGGATGTCCAAGGGCTGTATCAGGAGATAGGGATCTCTGTCAGGCCAGATACGGGGATCCCCGTGTACTCGCGCACACACTGAGATAGGCCCACCTTGGAAGCAGGAAAGTTAGTGATGACAACTTTTAGTGGCTCTAACACAGCCATGGCTCGTGGAGCTGTATCATTTAGCACATCACGCACACAGGCTTCCAGAAGATGTGGTTCCATTGTGGTCTGTGCCACTGTAACTCCCACCTGTCAGGAAAACAGTCATAGCTACAGCCACAAAGCCACACTTAGACTGTTTCTACCCGCTCAATCCACTGGATCATACCCGAGCACAGAAGTTGTTGATGGCCTCAGGTGGAAAACCCCGTCGTCGTAGGGCTGTAAGTGTGAAGAGCCGTGGGTCGTCCCAGTCCCTGTGAATACGATGATAGTCAGAAGACCTTAAAACAGCACAAGCCACTGGTACAACACCTCTGGTGAACCCAGCTCCATACCTACCGAACGGCACCAGCTGCTACAAGCTGGAGAATCTTCCGCTTTGAGACAACAGCATAGTGCAAGTTGAGACGGCCATATTCCCACTGAACAGGGCAATAGACATCCAGCGCATTACATAACCAAAAGTAGGAAGACCGTCTAGGATGGAAGGATAAGGTTAGACCTGGCCACCTGTGGGGCCAGGGAGAGACCAGAGAAAAGGCACTAGAAGCCATTGAGAGGGCTCAGCAGGTCAAGGTACTTAATGCCAAGTCTGAAGAACCGAGTTGTCTCCCTGGAACCTACTTAGTGCAGAGAGAGAGCTGACTCTGACAACTGTCCTTTGATCTCAACACATGTGCTGTGGCACCCGCACACCCACTTGCATGCATTTACACACTCTAAACAAAAAAAGGAATCCCCTTACCCTACCCATCCCATAAGCTCAGCCTCCTCACCGAGCCTGGAATTCCTTGGTACACAATGAGTGGGTGATGTGCTCAATGGAGTCACAAAGACAGTGTGTATAGTCATAGGTGGGATAGATGCACCTGTGGGACATAGACAGCAGATCCCACTAACCCGTCCCCTCTGCCCTATCCCACTGGCTCTTCCCTAATCCACCCCTCCCCATGCCAATATGTACCATTTGTCCCCTGTCCGATGGTGTGGTGTATACTTGACTCGGTAGGCCACAGGGTCCATCTTGCCATCCTCCATCACCAGCTTCATTCGAAGTGTGGCCTCACCCTCTGCGAACTTGCCCTTGCGCATTGCCTGAGGAGAACAAGAGCTCAGACTACCTCTACACACAGAAACATCTCATCCTTAGCACAATGGCCTTGCCAAACCAAGCTGTCCTTCCGGGATGCCACCTCAAAGAGCAGCAGCGATTCCTCAACAGGCCGCTCCCTCCATGGTGAAGGCAAAGAGTTGTGGCCTTTGAGCTCCTCCACTCTCTGGTGACACACATAAGCTTGACCCCTGTGAAAAGGGATATGAATGTGCAGGTGGTCCATGACCTGGTCAGTTTACCTGGTTCAACATGATGGGCCTGGCCTCACCTGCGGATGAGTTCCACAGCCCAGGCATACAGCTGGTCAAAATAGTCAGAGGCATATGTCACTTTGTAAGGTGTGTAACCTGAGGCAGTAGAGACATAATATGAAGAGCCAGCAAGAAACACTAACTGGCAAAGCCATGACCCACAAAGAGGTCCACTCACCACCAGCCCTGCCCAGGCCTCACCCAATCCCTACCCAGCCAGGTCACCATGTCATAAATTGCAGTGAAGAATTTTGCTTCTTCTTTCTCAGGGTTGGTATCGTCAAAGCGCAGAAAACAGATACCATTGTTGGCCTAGAAGAGTTGGAGCACCTGTGACGTCCCACATACCCATAAGCCCCTTCGGGCCACATCATCCAACTCAGACACTCTCAGAGTTCAAGCTTATCAGACGTTAACTACCCCAGCGAGACAGCAGCAGCCAGAAGCAGCTGC